AAGGAGGCACCCTTCACGGGAAGGGATCTTCCAGTCATTGGGCAGCAGCCATTTCAGGGGCCAGTCCTTCTAGCAAGACCCCACTATTAAAAATATTGCATTGTACACCTAAGATAATCAAAACAGAGAACAGATGTTCATCCTGTGCACTGCTCATTTTATTGCTTTTTAGTTTATGTCATGCCCAAATGAGCTTTTTATTAGAGTACTTAATTGTGTTTCGACTCGAATGTCGTCCACCTCTGTTCCCTATTTTCTTTGAACGTCTGTTTTTAGAAAATAATCTTTCCCTGAGACACATGGAAAGGGAGTGATTTGCAAAGCCTCAGCTAATGTAATTAAGAGCCAAGAGCAGCTGACCTAAAAAAGCAACAATGAAAAATACAGTCGATTGTTAAACATAAATTACTCCATAATTAAGTCGAATTGCCTCATAACAAAACTAGATCTTTCCCTCGTCCGTTACTTGGACAAAAGTATTACTGAGGGAGTTTGCATGTGGCATATTCTTCTGCTAAGAAGTTCATAACTCTGTAAAAGATAGTATCACCGTGAAAAAATAAAAAGGTTTATTGGGGCTTAGATTCAAGTGCTGGTCTCAGGGAAGCGATGTGTTCAGGGTACGGCCGTATGAGGTGCCTGAGCCAGCCTGACGTCTCACTGCTGTGAAAAGGATACTTCTGCTTCCCTCCTCACTGCCCCAACCTCTCCCTGTCCCACTCCCTGTTCATTGCAAAACATGCCCATTCACCTCAGCCCCTTCATGCGGGCAGGCCACCAGTAGCTAGAAGGCAGGCAGGCTGGACATGTCTCAGCAGTGCAACTGGCCAGAACTTCAGGGCTGGTGCAAAGCCTCTGGAATTAGAGGGGCTGCACAGAGTTACAGCAGTTCAGGACCACAGAAATCAAAGAGCCAGATGAGCTAGAGAAAACTCACAGAAGTCAAAGTGAAGTTTAGCAGTGAGTTAACCTGGCCCTTCCTTGAGTCACCCAAGGAGTCACCTCCACTCACAGTGTAATGGCAGCCAGCGTACTCACACTGCACAAGTTTTGTAAGTTTTGGGAAGTAACTCCTCCTTATGCTTCAAGACATGAACCCACCCTGATAAGAAGAAAGGGGCTGCTTGTAGTTATGAAGGTTTTTCCACCATGGACCTCCATGGACTTTCTTCTGCCCACTCTGCTGCTGGCCACAGCTGAGGGACTAAGCAGCTGCAGGTGTTACCATTCTGCACTTGCACACTCCCAGTATGATGGAGAAGACATCAAATTATGATAAGACTCCCTGCCCAGCATCAGAGCCTTGACTCATAACACCCATGGTTTTTAATGTCATAGAAGAGAGATGAAACCTAAAATCACTGCTAGAAGAACAGCAAAAATAATGTTTATGCTTGCTAGTCCTTTCTGGTCAAAAAAAGTCGAAAAATAATGTTGCTGCAAATAGGACTGATTGCAGATCTCCTTCTCGTCCATCCACTAGACCTGAGAAACAGCAGAGGAATCCCACAATCAACCGAGGGTGGCCAAGAAGACAACAGGCTGGGTTTCCATTTGGTTTTCTTCAGATTTTGAACAAGGGCAACAGAAACCACTCATTCCTAGGTTAAACTGCCCTGGCTTGCAAATGGATTATGGAGGACAGGCTCCTGAGTGGGAAATGTGAATATAAACCAAACCACCATACTGCTCTGCCAGGTCTTCTCTGGGAGATGTTAAGAGCTTTCAACTTCACTTCAACAGAGAAGGGTCTGTAGCAGAAATTGTCTCCTACTATTGACCAATTCAGCTTATATAAGCTATGTTTAGTTTTATAACACTCTCTTCCTCACTTTCTTGCTTCACTTTGTGTGAGTGGGACAATCACAGCAATAAAGTTATGTCATCAGTGCAGTTCGTTAGCCCTTAAAGTGTTAGGGAGCAGTGACACCAGTCTGCCCCATGGCGGGACAGCCACACTGGAGAAACAAGTGCTTGATTGACACCAGCATCTTCCACAGAGCAACTCCTTGGCCTGAATCACTGCAGATGGCTGTGCAAGGCAGTGGCATCATCTTTTGGATGTTGATCTCCAAGAAGAAAAAGCGTTATTTCTGTTACATTTCAGAAATGTGTCTTTCCTTGGTGCTTTGGTTGCCAGTGAGCAGCATCGCACACCTCATCTAACGGTTTTCTTGCAGCACCAGCAGCACTGCCTCGGACTAGGCAGACGCTCAGCTTCTGGCATCCCTATTCATGGCTGGAGCTCAAGGGAAACCAGGTGGCTCTGCTGCTGCCAAAGATGTGCCAAGGCAATCTCTACCTTTCCCCAGCACCAACGTGTTTCCTAGTCAATCATAAGTCATCTGCCCCTCAGCAATCCTGAGCCACAAACTGCCCAGTAAACCAGACCGCTTTTCGGAGAAAAAACTGACATTCTCTGAAGAGAGCTAGAGATTCAACAGTCTGGTTTCATGAGTCCCAAACAAGACTGCAGATGAAGCCTGGTGAGATTTTACTGCAGGCAAGAGGAAGGTGAAAACTGGATTATATTTGAAGGTTTGTTCCAGGAATAGAGATACACACACTTTTTAGTTATTATTATTTTAATCATATCCAGGCCCCTGAAATTTCTGTCTGCTTTCTGACAGCTCAGTGTCTTTATTTAGCCTCCTACCAGTCCTGTCCCAAACAGAAAAGCTGTAGTTGTCTGTGTTTCTATGAAATGAGGTTAAGTCACACAGGAAAGTCATACAAGAAATCTACAGCAAACTAGGAAACATAACTGGATTTTCGTACCTTTCTTGACCATAAGAAAATCTAAACTGAAACTTGCAATCTCAGAAAATGGCTTAGTTTCACAATCCTTACACGTTATCAGTGCTTTCAGTGTTCGGGAGAACTAGATGTTTTGCACCAGCCTCTGCTGTCAGTTACTATGGTGCAAATCTGTGGTAACTTCACCGGTTGCATTTAAATTACTCGATTAAAGGTTCTTTGTATTTTCACTAATGGCCCTTGCACCTGCTTGTGGAATTTAGCTGAAAAATGTATCTTAAAATTAGTTAACAAGCTCCAAGCGGGAAAGAGCGGCATCCGCTGTAATAGCATGCTGACACGTGGTTCCCAGAAGACCACATGTTTTGGGGTGGAATGAGCCTCTGGAGGTCACCAAGTCCGACCTCCTTCCTCCTCAAAGCAGGGCTGTTGGCCTGCACTGGTTCAGATTGACTTGAGCTGCATCATTTATAGTTATTTTGCACCTAGACCATTATTCTACATCCCAGGGATGCAGAACAGCAGACTTCTCATTGATCTCGCTGACTTTTGGTGTCTATCTGCTCTGGGGTGGGGGCAAATATAAACTCTGTTTAATATGTGTAAATGGGGTATATTGTGGGAGTTGTATATTGATTCTCTAAAGCTACCTACGGTCATATTATTGAAGAAACTCAAGGCACTAATGAAGGTTGTGTAAATGTCACTCCTGAAGTGTGCTGGGAGCTGAAGGCAGTGAGTGGAGAAGTGCTGACTCCACAGCAGCTCACATGGACTTTAAAGTCTGAGGGATGAATGTGAGCATTTGTGTTAGAGAGGCAGCTCAGAGAGATCTCAGAAAGCAGGGCTGGAAAGGGGCACAAAAGTATTTGTATAAGTCTCTCTCCCCAATGGCTGTGTGGGGAGCTTCAGCTCTTAAGTCAGTGCAGTCTGAATTGCACCTCAGGAAAACACCTTGCAGCTTGAACAAGGTGGGTGTGTGTAACCCCCCAGTTCATCCCCCTCTCTCCAGGAAGGATCGAGTAGTGTCCTTGAAAGATGAAGGCACAAAGCTGCCTGTGTGGTCTTTGCCTTTCATTCTGAATATAAGCCTGCTTACGGCTCAGAGCACTGCCCCTCCGCACGTCACCAGCCAACTCGCAAGCCTCCACCATCAGGTCCCGAGATGCAAACGAACAGCACATCACCCACCCAAAACAGGCACCAGGCAAACAGAAAACACTGCTTTTATCTTGCGGGGCAGCATTTATTCTTCTTGATCTAATTGTCATCAATGAAATAAGCTAAAAGATCAGTTTCATAATCCCTTATTGGTCCATAGAACTTACTTCAAGGTTTAGCAGAGCAGAGACAAAAGCTAATGGCGCCGTCTCTCTCGCCACTGAAAACACGCAGAATGCAGTTTGGGAACTGAGAGGCCAAACTCTTTTGCCAACAAGATAAATCCTTGCAGAGGTGGAAACAGCCTTAGGAACAGCGTACAGGTCTCTGTAGTTTCATTTCTGATGTCAGGAGGTGGCAGGTACGGACTCAGAGCCTGCATGCCCCTCGTAAGACACCCCCAGCACTCACGGATGGGGCTGGGGGTACGTGGCTGCTCAAGGCTGGTGCTTGGCCCACAGCAGTGAGCTGCCGTGGAGCCCGGCAGGCACCACGGGCCCCGTTCCCACTGGAGAGGGCCATAAAGCTTTCCCCATGTCCAGCAGCAGCTGGCCATGTTATACGCTTCACAAGCTTGTGTTACGGCTCAGAAAAGCTGAAAAAGTTTTAAATCACCGGTTACTGTTCTCCCAGGCTGCTACCCAACTGAAAAACGTACTAAGGGCACCCATGTCCATCTACAGTACCCAAAGGTAACATGCAAAATAAGAGCTCAGGAAATGTACTTACTTCTAACACAAGAGTTGCCAAGTCCCTACCACAGTAAATTACCACCTGCCAACTTCTTGTATGATTTGAAGGATAAAGTCAGCCTTTTCTAGATCCAATAAAAAGCTGAACCAAATGTTCATTTCAGAGAAAGGAAATTAATCAACTGCTCTCTTGTGCAGTTTTACACACACAAAACCAAATGGTGCCATGTTTCAGGTGCTTTGAAGGGTGAGAACCTGCAGAAAACTAAGAAGTTAAGAAATGACAACATATTCCTTAAAATATGGAGGTGGTGTCACTTCAGCATATAACAGCCAGCCTGATTCATTGCAGATAATGCCTAATGAAGGTTTCTCTCGGCTTCGTTTCAGAACCATGACCGCACGTGCATTGCATGCAGAATCATCTACCGGTCGGACGAGCACCATCCTCCCATCTTACCCCCCAAGGCAGATCTGACCATAGGGCTACACGGAGAGTGGGTGAGCCAGCGCTGCGAGGTGCGACCGGAGGTCCTCTTCCTCACTCGGCACTTCATCTTCCATGACAACAACAACACCTGGGAAGGTCACTACTACCACTACTCCGACCCCATCTGCAAGCACCCCACCTTCACCATCTACGCCAAGGGACGTTACAGCCGGGGAGTGCACTCATCCAAAGTGATGGGTGGCACGGAGTTTGTGTTCAAAGGTAGAGTGACTCGCAGCACTGGGGGCAGAGGTGGTCACATAGTTACAGTACGGGGTCCCTCCCATGGGAGACAGTCCTCTATGAACTTCTCCAACGTGAGTCCTTCCCACAGGCTGCAGTTCTTCATGAACTGCTCCAGCCTGGGTCCCTTCCACAGGGTGCAGTCCTTCAGGAACAGACTGCTTCAGGGTGGGCCCCCCAGGGGGTCACAAGTCCTGACAGCAAGCCTGCTCCAGCCTGGGCTCCTCTCTCCACGGGGCCACAGGACCTGCCAGGAGCCTGCTGCAGCATGGGCTTCCCATGGGGTCACAGCCTCCTTTGGGCATATCCACCTGCTCTTGTGTGGGGTCCTCCATGGGCTACAGGGGGAT